TGCGTTACCCTTTTATTTTTTCTTTGGGCGGGTATGGGAAGCGTCCTCCTTTATTTTTCTGTTTTTTTTGTTTTGTTCTATTTTGATCGGTGTCCGAGGGCTCCTTTCTCGAACGGTCGGTGCGATACCTGTTCTTTTCTTTATATTATTTTGTTTTCTTTTTCCGAGTGGTTTGTACCCTATTTTTGTTTTGTTTTGTTTTCTCGCGGCGTCGTATGTGCCGGGTTTTGAGACCACGGGCTCCCCATTTTTTGTGGACTATAGAGCTAATGTGAGAAACAACAACAACAACAACAACAACAACAGCCGTGCTCACCGCCACGGACAGTTCCACCTGAACTACGGGTCGTCAGCAGTAGCTTTTAATAGTGGTATCAGCTAACGCTTTAAACCCGCAGTTCAGGACATTGGGGTCAGTGGTGGCGAGCACGGCTGACAAAAGTTGGATGCCGCTTGCTTCCGGCGCAGATTTCGGGCTGTTTTCATAGGCTGCTGCGACCTTCGATATTTCAGCTCCAGTAGCAAACCTGAACGTGCTAGCACGCTCGACGCACCTTAATGATGTCCTCTACTGATGACACTAGAATGCGACCCCTACCAATCAAAATGGACCTTGTTTGAGCGCCTTCAGTTTTGGCTCTAAAATTTAGAACGACGTGAATTTCTATCTTGATATCAAAGGAGGCGTGTGGAGGTAGACGCGTGATACGTATATTTTGAGCAACCTCTACTGCCGCCCTGTACGAGAATCAACGATTTCTGTTTTTCGCGGTGCCTTCCTGCTGGTCTCGTATTTCTGATGTGCAATTTCTGGTGCTCTTGTGTTTGTTTTCAACATTTGTCGACACATCAAAATTCGTCTTCTGCACCCCCTTGATAGTTGCCTGAGCCTTGCCGGGCTAAGAGCGGCTCGTGTCGCCTTCACAGATTAGCTCCAGGTCAATATCCCTGTTCGGTAAGGACTGAGGGGTTCAAGGGATTATCTCCTTTCCTAATAGCCAATACAGCGTGTATTTATACTATTACGGTGGCACATAATTAATAGGAGCAAATTTTTGCTTTTTTCCGGCGATTTTTTTTTTTCTGAACAGGGCGTGTCCGCAGTTTCTTTTCATTCGCAGGAATCGAACATTATGGTCCAAAGCCTTTACATACACAGTAAAGCTAGGGCAGTAAACCTACCACATATCAAATGAAAGACGGCAACCACAGCTTTCAAATGAGCCTGGTCTTGCTCTCATCGGATGACGACACGGTACAGCAGCGGCCGGCGATGTACAGGGTACTTTTCGACTTATTTTCATGTGGGGAAGCGAACAAAAAAAAAATGACGAAGAAATAGCAACGCAGGTAGAACTTTTTGGAAACCCTATAATTTGGCGCGCGGGACCATCAGACCAGCTTTTGAAACAACCCAGCCGTTGTCGAGTACCGCACGCCGGAAGAGGAGCCTCCCAGCTTTCGGCCGATGACAAAACCGAAGGGCAGGAACAAGCCCACCGGCGGTGTCGGTGGACGCGAGACGAAGGCGAGNCGACTTATTTTCATGTGGGGAAGCGAACAAAAAAAAAATGACGAAGAAATAGCAACGCAGGTAGAACTTTTTGGAAACCCTATAATTTGGCGCGCGGGACCATCAGACCAGCTTTTGAAACAACCCAGCCGTTGTCGAGTACCGCACGCCGGAAGAGGAGCCTCCCAGCTTTCGGCCGATGACAAAACCGAAGGGCAGGAACAAGCCCACCGGCGGTGTCGGTGGACGCGAGACGAAGGCGAGAAAGAGAGCCAAGACGGCAGCGGCGAGAGATGCGTTGGCCCTGGACAGACGCAGCGCTAAGCTTGAGCAGGAGCGTGCAGCGCTCGCGTCGGAGATGGCGCAGAGAGAGCAAGCGCTCAGAGCGAAGGAGCAAGCGCTTAGAGCGAAGGAGACGGCGTTCGCCAAGAAGGAGGAGGCAGCGGCGCGCGCCGCTGCCCAGCGGGAAAAGCGACGAGCAGGAAGAGGTTGAGCGCGTCGAAGCGGCAGCTGCTGCGGCGGCGGAGAAGGTGGCTCAGGACCTGGACTACATGGACACATCTGTGCACGAGGTGAAGCCGAAGAAGGGCGAGGTCTGGACCCAGTTGCAGTCAAGGATGGTCCTCATGCTACTCTTCGACCTCCGCAAGGAAGGTCGCTATGAGAACGAGGTGGTGTTGCAGGTCAGTACACAGCAGTGAAGGTTGGATGGTGCGGCACAGCAGCAGGCCGATACCTTTTTCTATTTTTCATCTTAATCAAAGAGGGGTAACGGTTGTCTGTGTTTGAATCTACACTCCGAAATATGTGCGGTACACCCTGTTTTTGCTGCTGTTTACAACAGCAGTATGCTCATGTGTGGTGTGTGTTTTCGTCTTACGTATGTTGGGTGCGAGCGTGTGCCGTTCGGTACATGTTGGACTCACCAGTGTATGTCACACGCATATTCAGCACGAACACATTGTAGTGCTGTACAACAATACTTCACAGAAGTACTTTACAGCAGACGAGCAGGCTTGAATGTGCGATGTCTCACTGCTG